CCCCCCCCCCCCCCCTTCTCTGTTACACCATCCAGCGAATATCACAAAGGGTTGTTGGTCACAGGGTCAGAGGTAGCGTTTGCATGGGCTTGTCCGACTGGTGCAAGAATGTCCCTGACATTGTCACGTTGGTGTGAAGTAGATATTTGTGTGACAATGATGTGAGTATTGTGCCGGTACTTGTGTGTTTCTGTGTGTGTGTGTGTGTGTGTGTGTGTGTGTGTGTGTGACCATGGAGTGTGCCTGCAGAGTCTGACCCCTGGCGTGTCACCTCAGGCCTGTGCGGGGGGAGAGGAGGAGAGTGAGGAGGGAGGTGGCAGCACGGCGGCTCATCTGCTGGAGGCTCTGCGGCAGTTCCGCCTGCACCACCGGGGGCAGTACCACTCGGTGCTGGAGGAGTCCCTGGCCGCCTACACACTGCGAGGGGAGAGCACTGTGGAGGGAGCGGGGGAGGGCAGGAGGACCTCAGGCGACGACCACAACAACGGAGGCCAGCAGCAGACCGCCTCCCCTCCCTCTCCCCCCTCGCCCCCGCCCTCACCTGCCACTGCAGAGCCGGAGGCTAGCCGAGATGCGCCCGCCCCCGAGTCCGGTCCCTCCTCTGACTGAGCACCCCGTCCCCCGTCCCCCGTCCCCCGTCCCCGTCCGCATACCTTACCCGACCCTAGAGCTCTAGTCAGATGTGCTGTGACCTCTCCTCCTCTTTCCTTCATCGCAGAACTTGAATAGACACATCAGCCTCTTCCGGCTCCACCGTGGTCTGCGTCTTACAGCTACCATGTTCATTCGTGAATATTTTAGGAATGCAAAGGAAACAAAGAAAATGGCCGTTCTGTCTATTCAAGTTCTGTCTCCGAGCCACATATATACCTTTCAACAAGGACGCTTTCTTTCCCCTGTCCTCGGCTTGGATTCCCAAACTTGCCGGCCACTTTTACCACCTGACCACACAGACTGATGTTTACAATAGAAAATATTCATTAGCAAATTATTATTACATGTAAAAGTGGCTGGTGAAGCAAAAATAAACCTTGCACTCCATGGCCTACATTTACCAGTATTGGCTCCTGGCTGATTTCCCACTTGAACCCACCTCCCTCCCTCACTCCCTCCCTCCCTCTCCCCCTGCCTCCCTCAGCCTCACCCCCTCCCACACCTGCTTACAGTGGACGAACTGACAAAGAAAAGGAGACCCTATGAACTGCAGCTGTGTTCAACTCGCTGCACGGTCTCCAGGCCTCCTCCATCTACAAACTCAGAACACACTCTTTTGCGTATATGTGTGTCTGTGTGTGTCTTTGTCTGCGTCTGCATGCGTTTGAGTGATGGAGAATGAGACAAATCATTTGTGTAGGGGGGTCGGTGGGGGTATACTTTGAGCGTCATTACATTTAAATCATTCCCTCACCACCACATGCCTATTTCTGCATCACCACATTTTAGTAAGCTGCCTCACAGTCGACACAACATGTGTTCCTGGTTGTTGTTATTCAGGAAGATGGTGGCGCCACACGAAAAGTCATATTGTTTCCAAAATCCAAAGGGTTTATCATTTATACAGTTTGTTTGATTGTGTGACGTGGCTCAACTTCTGTGTCGGCTGTATCAGTGCTGGCTGTTAACTGCTGTTGTTGGCAAATCACAGCTACGGTTAGCATAGCATTACAGTTAGCACAGCTCCGCTCCATAAAGATCCTTCCATAGAAACACTCAGGGAAGTGGCTCTGCTCTTTAGCGCAGGCTGGAAGCTTAAACAGACGTATATGTTTTTGCCAAAACAACCAATTAGTCTTTATTCTCGCATGACGACGCCAGCTGTTTTGAGCTAAATAGAAATGTCATTTATAACACGCTATCATTTGCATTCATCTCAAAGCACAATATTCTGATATAGTACATTGTAGGCAGAGGCAAGTCAAACTGTGTAGAGCTGAACCTGAGAACTTTACTATAGATATGAGTACTTGACTTTCTTTAGGCAACAATATGGCTATTTCTTTTTTGGCCACACCCTCCGGCTAACCCTTTGTTTTTCTTTCAAAACATGCAGCTGACATTACATCCCCGAAGTCAAACTGCTGACAGCATTGAATTCTACTGTAGGCGTTCAACGTCCAACGTCTGGTCGTCTACACCAGCACAACAGTGTGTTCTGTGTGTCTGTCCACAGTAATAAAAGAAGTGTTAGTGAACCAGGTTTCCATAAAGTTCCTGCTGCTCATGCCGACAGCCGCTGCTGTTAACCGCGGCAGGATGTGTTTCAGCTTGATTAGAATCCCACACACACCGTACATTTCATTCCTCATTGGTTATGACACCGACAAACAGAAACTCTTGCCTCATTGGGGAAAGTTTGATTTATATCTAGACTGAACCAGCAGTGTTCATTCTTCCTCTTTGAAAGGAAGGGAATAAAGCCCAGGACCCAATGACCCTGGTAATGCATGCACTGCACTTATCTTTTCAATATCTACGGCACTTAACTATCAGAAGGGAGGTTATGCTAAACACTGCGAGTGTGTGTGTACGTATGTTTGTGTGAGTGTATGTATGAGTTGTATTTGTATGCGGTTACGTGGGCCAAATCAGTCCCATACAGTTAAAAATGACAAATGAACAAAATAAAGATGATTTGAGGTATAATGCAATGATTTGTGTCAAGTGTATGAGTATCTCTCACTGCAGTCCGACTGTGTTTCTTGTTTATTGGTCCCGTCAAATGTGTAGATCAGGGTTGTGATGAGGGATGCAAAGATGCATTAAAGTCCCAGACAGACTCCCAGATAAAGTGGTGGACGTTGATACAGGACCGTTCCCTGCAGTCTCTGCTATATTTAATGTGTTGTATCTGTTTTCTGTGTAGGCTGTGACGTTTGCAGCTCAAGCACAAAACAAGTCCTTGCCTTCTCTACCCTCCTCTGTCAGCTTTTAGCTCTATAGCCGCGTCTTGTCATTTCACCTCAGCTGCTTAAAGACATTTTAATCTTTCGTCTCCTTTTTTAAAAAAAAAAAAACCAAAAAAACAATAGCAGCAAAATAAATGCCCGCCACTGCATTGACAGGTGGAGGGGAGAGAGACGCCTAGACTTTAGGGATTCCATTCTCTCCATTTCTCCCCCCGTTTTTCAGTCTTGACAGTTGGCCTCGTGATTCTCCGCAAGGTGAGTCTTCAGAGGTCTGGGTTCTGGTTGTGTTGATGTGCAGGCTGGGCAGGGGAATGTCAGTCTTTCACCGTTATCCATTCAATTTGAGTAGATAGATAGGTGTGCAGAGAGGCTCAAGTTTACTACTGTGTGCAGTGAAAGAACACAGCAACAAAAACAAAGCCTAACGCGGGCTCCTCTCCGTCTGTCTCTTCTTTTTACCCAGAGTGCCGGTGAGCTGGAAGACCCCTGGTAGCCGTGGCATCAACCTCCGTCTCCTCCTGGTGATCGGTGCATCTGCCCAGAGGAGTGTCTCTCCATTGCGCCATGTCTTTCTCCACTAAAAGAGGACATGTGGTGTGTGTGTGTGTGTGTGTGTGTGTTTGAGTGCGTGAGTGCGTATGTTGGTTGTGTGTGTGTGTGTTTGCAGCAGTGGGACAAAGACGACAACAACTACACACACACGCATATACTGCTTTAAACCTGGAGGAAAATGAAAATCACTTTTCAGAAATGTCAAGATTTTATGAACTGAAGCATTGTGATGGTAGAGATGATTTTTACCATTGAGGTGTTTGTTTTTCTTTCCTTTTCTTGAATGTTGACATTGAACACCTGACTTCACAATGACATAAGGACCTATAGAGCGTGCGTGTGTTTGTGTGTGCGAGAGAGAGGGAGTTTGTGTGTGTGCGCGAGTGTTTTGAGGAGGGCCAAGAGAAGACAGACGGTGGATAAAGACTTTGTATGTAATTCTTCTCCTGGACTTTTTTTTTTTTTTTTTTTTTTCTGTGCTCCTGGGTCTGATATTTGCCTAACACCTTTGCTTCTCCCCTCTTAAAAAAAAACAACATAAACACTCTCTCTAACACACAGACACACCATTAAAGAAACAAAACATAAACACCCTCCCCCCACTTCCACCTGTGCACGTATGTGCCACCTTTGCAGGGCACTGCATGAGGACTTTGGTTCCACATGTACAGCTACGTGGTTTTCTAGTCCATCCGGATGGACAGCCATTGGTTGAGACTGACTGAACCTGAAGGACCTCTGCACTCTCATTGGCTCCTGCTGTGTGAGAAGTGGAAATGATTTGAATTTTTTTGTTTTAGTTGTTGATACTATTAGGATGATAACGATGATAATCATGATGTGGGTAAATGGGAGGTTATCTAGTTCACTGAAGAGCCGAGTGCAAGCGGGACTCATGGGGGGGGGGGGGGCTGTTGTATCACTGGTTGGACTTCCTGTAGGAGGAAGGTTGGGGCAGGAGGGTGGTGGGTCAAACGGGCTTCCCCACCTCCCTCTCCACCATCATGGTTGGAAGTACACATGAGTGGACTGTCCTGACAGGACTTTTCTTTTTTAAATTTTTTTTTTTTTTTTTTTTTTTTTTTTTTTTTAAATATAAATGTTGTCCATGAGGTTACTAGCTGCTCGCTATGTAGAGTGAGTGAACTCCCTGTTTTAACCCAGTTCCTGGTTCTCAGACTGCATTGGTAATGTTTGTATTGCTGTTGTTTGATTGCACTCACATTTGATTACAGAAAGCGTCTATATATGAAATAAAATACCTGCCAAGGATCCAGTGGTGGCTGCGTATTTTAATACGAGAGGTCATGTCATTTCTGGGTGTTTGTGGGGCCTTTGTTCTTTTCCTCAGAGGCCCGTGTCACGAAGCGAGACCAATCGGATCGCTGGAAAGTTCCTGCAGCATCCCGACATGGGACACAAGTGGACTTTTAGGTTTACAATAAAGTGAGTAGCACAATTTTATAGGTCAGTACAATCACTTTATTGTTCCTTTTCCATGTCTGGGTTCAAAACAAACCTGCATATACCGCTTTGTTTTACCAGAAAGAAATCCACACTTTTGATTGACAAGCCAGGTAATTATAAATGCAGCTTTTCTTTCAGACATTAACTTTATTGTACTCTGCTTTGGCAGCAGAAGGCCTTGCATTACTTTTATATTTTTATATTCATAATAGTTTATATTCATAATAATACGGGATTAGAAAGGAACAAAACTATGAGGATGTTGAAAATACTGAACGCTTAAAGAGACAAAAGCTCAAATTCTCACAATTATTTAAGCCAGGAAACACAAAAAGCTCCATAACTGCTACATTTGTTGTGTCTAAAGTGTCTCAAGGCAAGATATGCAGCACCGGGGATGCTGTTCTCTAGCTGATCTTGACCTTTGAGGGAACGTACACAAACCTTTTCTGTCGGTAGTCGGGTTCGTAGGTGCATTAATAATCCTCGGGAGAATTGTAGCAGCATACGTGAGTTGGTCAGAGAAGATACTTAAAAATCAAGTTTTAAGTTAAGTACAAAAACATTTTTTTCCAGCAGAGATCTCAGAAATTAAAGAAAAACAAGTGTAACTATATTAAATTGTATAAAAAGAGTATGTATTGTTTTTGATTTTAAAAACAGACCACATCAGGTGGAGTACATGCTGTACTGTATATACTGTACAGTGTAATGAACCTTTTGAATATATTAGCTTGGTTGCAGATCTCTGAACTGGCACCCACAGCCAACCTACAAGTGTCTGATAAAAGATGAGGGATTATCAAAGTTATCTAAATTAGTCTTCATTTCACACAAAAGAAACTAAAATGTGGACCTCATGGTGGCGCTAGAGGAACAGAGGATCATTGAAGTCATTGGGATTCATCCTCTGGGGAGCATGAATAATATTTAATAATTCATCCAACGGTTTCAGTCTGGACCATTAATCGATTCATTTATGAAAATGAACATATTCTTCATGAGGTTTGGTAGTCAGACGCTGTGCTAGCTAAAGAACTAACATGGATTTCATTTTTGTTTTCCAATTCTTCAGTTCCTCCTATTAGAAGACAATCCTCTCAGAATGATCCATTTGTCCACTTACATGTATTTGTTGTTTCTTCTTTCCTCAAAACATTCTGCTACTCTTCTCTGAACAGCATAACTATCAAATAAAACCAGGATGCCTTGAAAAATATTTTAATTTATTTATGATTGTACGTGCTGCACACACACACACACACACACACACACACACAAAACCCGTGTCTAATCTGTCACTCTGTCATAATTTGATCATAATCCCTAATGATAATCACATCGTATCTTAAAGGTGTTCTCAATCTGGAGAGGGATTATGGGATTGCAGAGCATGTGTGTTAGAGTGTGAATGAGCGAACTAAATATGTTACAGTGGTGGTGCGTATGATGTGTGTGTTTAAGGGGGTAAAAGGGGTGAATTTAATTTGATGGGGGGGGGGGGGTACAGGGTGCACTGGCTCACTTTTTCACCCACTGAATCCACTTTAAGCCTGATATTACAAAACAATAGACACTGACCTGTTAAAATGTGTTTGTGCTCCCCTCCGCTGTTCCTCTTTAATCTCTTTCACTTTAATTTGTTGTGTACGATTACGTGACATAAAACAAGATAAATCCAAGATCAACGGACTCTTTGCCCATATTCATCGTCCACAGAAGATATATTCTGATGATGTTGGTGATCGTGTGGCTTTCCCTCTAGCCCCACCTGGAGGCCGAAGTCTTCATATCTCAATCCATTTGGCGGAAAAAGCTCTTGTACTCCCATAAATAAAAGTCCTGCAGTCAAAATGATACTGGACAAATTTACTATGAATTTCACTACAGAAGTATTATTAAGCATAGATTGGAAATACTCAAACACAAAATACCGTCTACATAAGTACTGCATTTAAATAAATATAGTGACATTACACCACTGCTATATATCTACATGCTGGATTGGCACACCATTTTTTTTCCAGACATTCGTGATCCCTGGAGGACGAATCTTACTGACTTGGATGATCCGCTGACTTTTTTGGTTTTGCATAAAATATCTCAACTATGGAACGGATTGCCACGACATTTGGTTCAGACATCCGTTGTGCCCAGAGGATGAATCCTGCTGACTTACTTTCTCACCTGGTTCCATCATTAGCCTCAACTATATTGTATTTAGTGGCAATTAGCAAATGTTAGCATGCTAGCATTATCCCTGCGTGTAAAGCGTTGCTGGCATTGCTGTAGACTCTTGTTCATACATAAACACATCATGTACTTTCAGACTTGCCTCTTTCTTATTCCCCTCTTTCAGCGGCGTTTGTGAAAACCTCAGAGCTTTTCAGTCCTCGACCTGTAACCTGGACCTGCTGGAAAAGCTGCAGCTGCTTCAGAAACTCCATTTACAGGCCACATACGTGGCAGCGCTGAACCTGCCCCGTGTTACAGTGTTTATAGAATATATTTGTATGTATTGTGGCTGTTTAAGCATTGTGTTTGTTCCATCCTCCCCCTGAAAGACCCGTGAAGGTGTTCAGTACCAGTGGTTGTTTGTGCTCTCATCTCAACGTCAGCTGACCCATTTGACCCGGACATGCTGAAGAACATGTGCCAATAGAAAAACCGCCAGCTTTGTTAGCAGGTAGAAAAACACTGGTGGTGTTTCTCTTTCTCCTCCTGCTCTCAGTTCTTCTTCTTCTTCTTCTTCTTCTTCTTCTTGCACCCACTCCTTCTCTTTTTACAGTGAAAGGATTTTCAGCCTTTGGCCTTAAAGTTTACCTTTGAACGAGATAAATACTGACCGTGTGATTATACGTCACGTTTAAAACGAGCCACCTCGCCTCTGAATTTAATTTGAAGGCTCTAAATGAAAGCTCAAAGGAGTGCATTGTTCAAACACGGGGAAATATAATGAAATATAATATGCTGATGGCCCTCTGTGTTTGTGTGTCTCAGCATATGATTTAGTGAAGTGGAGTAATTTAGCAGATGAGCATGTGGCCATTGTTAGAGGGATAATCTGGCTTTTGC